GCCCCACCCCTTGCTGGCTACTGGCCCGCCGTTGCCTTTATTTTGCTCATCCTGCCACTAGCAACCTACTCAGCACCACACACTTGTGATTCTTCTGCATTGTGGAATGTTCTGTCCTTTTTGGTGCTGAGCAGTATTCCATTGTGATGATGAACCCCACCTTCCTGTCTATTCACCTGCTGATTGGACATGTTCAATCAATTGGACATGTATGGTGATTAGAAATAAATTGTTGTGAACATTCTCAAACCAGTGGTGTGTGTACATACATTTTCACTTCTCTTGGATGAACACCTGGAACTAAACTGCTGAGTAATTTGGGACATGAATGTTCAACTCCATGTCTGGTCTCTGAGGCTGGCCCATTTTGCACTTGTACCAGCAGTACTGAGATACAGTTGCTCCAAATACTTGTCAGCACTTAGTATTGTTGGGTTTTTTACATTTAGCCATTCTTATAGATGTGTTATGGTATTTCATTGTGGATTAAATTTGTGTTTCCCTAATGGTGACCACATTGAATATTTTTTGTGCTGCTTTGCCTTCCTTAGATCTTCTTTGGTAACAGATCTGAAGTTTGGGCTGTGTTTTCTTTGGGCAGTTTTCTACTGATCAAACTTTGAGAATTCTTTTTATATGATGGATGCAAGTCTTTGTGTTTTATAAATATTTTCTACCAGTCAGTGTCTTGTCTTTTCATATTCTTTTTTTTGTCTTTTCATATTCTTAAGTGTTTTTCAAAGAACACATATGTTTACTGTGATAAAGTCCAGCTTACTGTTTTTTTCTTTGATGAGTTGTATTTTTGGTGTGCTAAGTAATCTTTGCCTAACCCAAAGTTGCAATGATTTTCTTCTAGAAATTTTATGATTTTAGGCTTTACATTTATGTTTGCAGTCCATTTCAAGTTAATTTTTTATGGTGTTGTGAATTATGAGTCAATTCACTTTTTCATTAAAAAGTTATCTTCTGAGACTAAAAGTGATATAGGCTCATTGTAGAAAACTTTAAATGTAGAAAATAAAATTACTCCTTTTCTTAGTGTCCTTATGTTCCTGTAACGGAATACCCCAGGCTGGGTAATCTCCAAAAATAGAAATTTAGTTCTTATGATTCTGGAGGCTGAAGTCAAAGAAAGTCAGCAGGTCCCATATCTGGTGAGGGCTCTCTGCTTTCAAGATGGCACTTTGCTGGTTCTTCCTGAGAGGGGCGCCATGACCACATCCAGTGGACTAGAGCGAGCCACAGCTCTTTTATAAGGACCTTGGTCCTATCTGCTTCTTAAAGCCCACTTTTCAATCCTATCACATTGGGCATGAAGATTCAACATTTAAATTTCAAACAAAACACATTCAAGCCATTCTACCCATCATCCAACCATAAGTGATAACCGTTTCCAACTTACCACTGTATTGCCTCTCCTCCATTTTTCAGCAGTGGGAATTAAACCCAAGGCCTTTACACACCGAGCTGCAACCCTATCCCTTTTAAATTTATTTTGTGGTTTTTATTTTCAGATAGGTTCACTGAATTGCTAAATTGCCTAGCGTGGGCTTAAACTTGCCATCCTCAGCTCTTAATGGTTTTCCTAATTACTGAACAAACATGCTAATGGCATAGTTAGCAAATAGAGATAAGCAGAGGCAATGTGCCTAAAAGTTCTAGGAGCTCCTCTCTGAAAGTAGGCAGAGGGATTTTTTCATTGGCTAAGTACACACACTCCGTGAAAGTTATAATGTACTTCACTATTCTTTTGAGGTATTTAGGACGCATGCAGTGTTTCTCTTTTAGATGTCCCACTGGAGTAAAAGACATGGCCATATAGCTCTGGATTTCAGATTTTTCCCCTAGGGTCGGATTCTAACAGGTTTCAAAGGAGTCAAAAGTCATAAATATTTTTAATGCTCCTGGGCCTCCAGCGTTGTCCCTTCCCTGTGGGGTCACTCTCTCTGCCGCAGGAATGCTTGTGGTTTGTACACGTGGCAGACGTGATAACGTCATCTGTGAGTCATGATGTCTCAGTGTGGGCGCTCGTATTTGATTGCTACTCAGGTAAATATTTTTTCCCAGCGATCACTACCCCTGTGATTAGCTCTTTTCTGATTTCGCCATCCTTTAGCTGATAGCGAAGCGTCTCTATTAGTGAGCGCAGAGGCATATTCACCTTTGGAGAGGAAACATCACCTAGTTCTGTCAGCTTGACATCTTTACCGCTTAGTAAAATGCGTGCAAGAGACGGGGAAAATGTATTTCTATCAATCTTTGTGTTATTGGCCTCTTGATTTCTTGAAAAATAAGAAAGACAAAGTGGAGTTTTTTGACCTTTGAATTCTTCAAATGACGGTGCCAAGCTTTCGGGACAATTAAGACATAAATATTCTTTGTGAATTTATCCTTCCTAATCCGTGATTGATACCTGGCGCTGAAGGCGCACTGCTGTGCACACCGGAGCTGGACGCAAACACGTGAAGAAAAGGCGGCGGTCGGACGCGCTGGGACAGACAGCGGGAACAGAGGACGGCCCTGGCCCCGGCTCCCGAGCGCTCCCCTTCCTTGGGGCACTGACCCGCCTGGGCCCGGGTGGTGCCACCTGCTGGCGGCCGTCAGCACTGCGGGCAACGGCGCCCGAGAAAGCGCCGCGTTTGACAGGGGCAGGACGGCGGCGAGGATGTAAGTAAGCCTAAGCCAGGGGCGGCCTCCACACAAGTCCTCTCTCGCCCCAGCCCTGTTTCTAAACACTGCCACGTGCCGATGATGACGGTGAGCGCCATGGTGACAGTGAGCCAGGAGGCCTTGCAGGCTGTGGAAGGTCCCGCAAGAACAGCCCGCTTGCAGCTCCCTAAGGAAACCGGGCCATTAAACCACCAAGGTGCCCAGGCCGGGCTGGGTTTTGGTCCTCTTGCCTCAACCTTCCAGAGAGCTGAGATTACAGGCGTGTACTAATACAGGTGATAGAAGGGAAATATTACAACTCCCACCCGCTGATGTCTGATGTGCTGAGTGCGTGTCCCCCAGCACCGAGGAATGAATTCTGAGGAACAGCGGAGGTGAGAGCAGGAACTTCTACTGAGGGAGAGACAGCTCCTGTCTGAGAGGAGAGAAGGGGGCCCGGGAAGTGGGTAGCCAAGGACTGCACTTCTCAGAGGAAGTTTTATAGAGCAAAATCACCAGGTGGTATAAGGTGGGACATTGGGCAACCGAAAGATTATAAATATAGTCTCTTAGGTAATATTGATCCACTGGGGAAGCAGGTCACATAGCAAGTGTACATGCAAAGAGCAGGGACCTTCCCTGGAAGGGATGGGTCAGGAGGTCCTGGTCCCACACCCAGGTGGCTGATGCCTATTTAGAATGTCAATCATTCTGTTTATCCTTCCAACAGAGGCGCCTCCACCCACAGGTACACTTTATCTTCTGCACTGACTTCTTCAAGGGCCCAGACCTGTCTGACTGCCTATGATATTCCTAGCTACCTCAGCTGTCTAGAATACCACCTTGCTCAGAGTGATAACTTATCTTTTCCCATCCATCTATCCATTTAAAGGGAAAAGGAAGGCGGAGAGGAGGCTGGGAGCTGAAGCCAGCCAGGTAGGTACATTCTGCTTTAGAAAAACAAGCTAAAAGCCCCAAATTCATATGGTGAATAATTTAAAACAACTGATGGCATTACAAAGGAATTTCTCACTGTGGCAAAATACGCTTTCTATTTTTTTCTAAATATCAGCTCTTTGTATTCACTTAAGATAGCCGAGCTGACATGATGTTCCTAACGTCATTTTTTTTTTTCAGTGCAGCAACCCCAGTAACATAAAGTAAAACTAGTTTGAAATGCAAAATCTCCCTCATCGTGTATGCTCTTTGATTCTCTCCCGAAGAGGAGGAGCAGGCTGGATGAGGAGAACAGAGCGGAAGGAGGTCACCTGGAGCGTCGGTCTCTGGCTGGGACAGGGCGAGGTTTCCCCACCCGGCCTCCAGCGGGGAGCGGAGGGCTGACCTGTGGGAGCGGACAGAACTCACCTGGGCCAAGTGCAGCGCAAGCTTCCCAGCCACCGTCTGTGGCTGGGCCAAGGGGTGGGCACACCTGCGTCCCCAGCCTAGTAGTGTAGTTACAGTAAGACTGCTGTTCCCATGAGGGGCTCTCAGGTCATCGGACGGCTTTGAAAAAGAAAACAGAACAAAACCGAAAGAATCAGCACAGTCACTTTGCAGCCTGGAGTTGCTGTGTGTGTGTGTGTGTGTGTGTGTGTGTGTGTTTGTGTTTATGTGTTTCTGGTGCTGGAAATAGAACCCAGGACCTTCACCGTGAGATATCCCCAGATCTTTTTTTTCCAGATAGAATCTCCCTAAATTGCCTAAGCTGGGCTCAAATTTGCATATTCCTGCCTCAGCCTACCACAGCACTGAGAGTACATGCATCACCACAACCCGCTGTTTATGTTTTTGATGTCTGAAGGCCCTTCTCATAAATCCTGGGCTGCTGTCAGCTAGGGGGACACTGAGAACCAGGTGCTCAGCTGCTGGGTGCTGATAAACGGGAATCTACTAGGGGGCATCTGTGGGCTCGCCTCGAGCTTCTGGAGAGGCCCCACAGCCAGATACTCTGATTCTCTGGTGTGTGTGGTGCATCTGCAGATGCCCCTCAGAGGCGAAGGATTTCAGGTGCACTTTAAGGGACAGTTCTTCTGTCAAGGAGTGTGTGACAGATAGGTATGTCTCACACACCAGGCCTGCTTCGCTCAGTCAGAAAAGCATTCACTTCCCAGCCCTCGCAGGTGGGCCGGCAGCATTCTGAACCTACACGCAGCTGTGACAACTTCCAACAGTGTCCCTTCAGGGGCCTGGACATACAGGAAGATGTCTTTCTGGATGCAAAACAGGTCTGGATATTTCTAGAGCAGGGTTGCCTCTTCATCACTTTTTTTTTTTTTTTTTTTTTGAGACAGGGTCTCACTATGCAGTTCAGGCTGGCCTTGAACTCACTATATAGGCCAGGCTGGCCTCAGACTCAGAGAATCCTCCTGCCTTAGCCTCCTGAGTGCTGGGATTACAGGTGTGTGCCACCATGCCCGGCACTCTATAGCTTTCTGAAGCTCCCTGGGAGACAAAATGCAGTCATTTTCCTAGAAGCCCAGTTACTTCATTGATCTTGGCATGCGAAGAAAAAAACTGAAAAATGAGTCCCGCAAGCACCCTGTCATCTGCAGGCAGCAGCTGTCTTTAAAATCCGATCGGAACACCTGGAAAGGATCACAGTAGACGCAGGGGTAGTGCTGGATGTGGGAAGCCCCGAGAAACCCCTCCTGGAAGTTCCGGGGAGCCTCAGTACCAAGCACAGAAGTTTAGAGCCTGAAAACTGTGATGTTAAAACCTCAAGCCTCGACTCTTGAGGGACCTTTCTCCGCCCGCCTCTTTCTCACCATCGTGCTAACAGGGACGGTTTATTTCTAGTAGCTGTGTCCCGTCCCTCCTCCTCAGGCCTCTGCTGTTTTGGGTCTGGCAGACGTTGCTCCCAGGTCTCCAGTCTCGCCAAGGGGAAGGGAGGCGGAGGCCAGGTGCCAGGGGGAGGGTCTCTGTGCCTCCAGCTGTTGTCAGGAAGTGCCACAGGCCAGTGGCTTGCGGTGAGAACCTCAGCCACGATTCCCGCCCAAGGTCAGGTGACAGCTCAGCTTGGCCAGGTTCTGGGACGGCCACTGCCTGGCTCAGCTGGCGCCACTTCCTGATCATCTCCGTGTTTGGCAAAGATTGATGCTGAATCCCGCCTCTGTTCCAGACTGCTTGACAACAGAGAAGGGTTTTTTGTTTTTTTTTTTTGAGACAGGGTTTTGCCAGGTAGCCCAGGCTGGCCTTGAACTCTCAGAGATGCCCCTGGCTCTGCCTCTCTCAGGACAGAGTGCTGGGATTCCAGGCGAGCACGCCTGGCCAGGGGAGGTCATTCTTTAAACTCACAAAGCTTTTTGCAGTTGTGTCTTCATCGCCTCGTCCCATAATGTGGCAGAGAAGGGGGCCGCCCAGCTATCAGGCCAGAGCAGCAAAGTTCCTGTGGAGGAGTCACGGCCCATGAGCCTCTGGAGAAAAGCCCCCCGGGACCCCCGCCAGCTCCACTGCCAAGGCCCACAGATAAGCAGCTGAGCTGGAAAAGGTACCACGAGTGGGGCCAAATCAGAGTCATTTGTTGTCTGCTTTGCCTCCCACGTTTCAGATGTGCTGGGCGATCGCAGGAGGACTGCAAATCCCTGGGATCTCAGAAACTGACAAATCAGTGGTAATTTGTGTTTGCAAAGTGAGTGCTTTCTCTTTGAACATTGCGATCCTGTGCTTTTTTCTGAGGTTGTTTACTGAACTGTTTGCTTCTAGGAGAAGTTGGCTTCTTTGTGTCCTGACCGCCTGATGTCTTCCCCATGCAGGACGAAGCCCAAGGCCCAGCCACACTCAGCCCTGGGGCCTGGCCTTCACAGCTTCTGGAGTCACGCGCTAGATAAATTCCTGCTTGTCGTAAATTACCCCGTCTATGGGATTCTTTTACAGCAGCGCAAAGCTGACCAGGCCACCAGTCCGATATCAAATAGTACGAGAGGGGAGACTTTTGAACAGAGATATTTTTGATTTCACAAAAAGGCTTTTCAAGGGATCCTTTTTTTTTTTTTTTTTTTTTTTTGGAAGCTCCCAGAGTTTGCCTCATACATAAAGAGAGGGGTAAACCAAGAAGGGGAGACTGGAATTCAGGACCCTGAGACCCAGAGGAGAAGTTCCGGTCCAGCCAGTTGAGTGAGGTTTTATCACGCTGGGGGAAGTGGGAGCCTCTGCAGAGAGGTGGGGTGTGAGTTAAGGGGGACATAGAAAAGCGCGTGGGGAAGTGAGTCCAGAGTACATGTGAGAAAGGAGCTGAGATCAGCAAATGCGGCTCAGTGACCACAGGTAAACACTGAGGACTGGTTAGCAAGGCACAGGCCGTCCCCGTCCAGGAGGCTGAGGAGGGGGTGTGGGTGTGAGTGTGCCCAGCCAACAGCACCCAGCATTGAAATGCCAAGAATAGGGCTGGGGATTTAGCTCAGCGGCAAAAGCGCCTGCCTGGCAAGTGCAAGGTCGTGAGTTCGGTTCCCGGTACCGGAGAAAAAAACCAAAAAAAAAGAGATGCCAAGAATCCGCCACAGGCACCCACGTGTTTAGAAACACGCCTCAGCGGTGCAGGAGGCAACCGGCCGAGTCAAGCTCTCCCTCCGTGTGAGCTCGGGCAGGAGGGGTGCAGGGCTACTTCCCAGATTCACCTCGAGGGGCAACTGGCCTCTGATAAGCAGGCTGTACTGTGCTAGCTCGATAAACATGCTACACACGAGATGTCCCTGACAGCACACACATGTGTGCATACATACATAAGAACATACATGTATGCATGCACACAGACATCAGACTTAGTCCCTGAAGAGTACAACCAGTGGGGCCTGCCTCTGTGTGTGGGGACGTTCTGACCTTGGGGACAGTTCCCAGGGTGCGAGGTGACCTCCCTTCCCAGCGTGTCCCTCATAGCACACACAGGACATGTCCTGGGGAAGGATGAGGTCTGAACACACAGCTTCAGTTATTTTCAGGGAAAATGTGAAATACAACTCTGATACTGTTTTTTGACCCACTTGGATGTTGTTTCCCTGGCATGAGCGGCAGTGAACACAACCTCATGGCACCCCGCAGCAAGACACTGAGGGCTGCAAGCCCATGACAGCTGGGTCAGAACTGAGAACTGACCCGATGGTTGCCACTGCCCAGGAAGTCAGTGATCGGGAGCGAGGCTGCACAGCTCGTTGGTTTTGTGGGGACTGTGGTTCCCAGGGTAGCCGGGAGCCCCGGAATATGGCAAGTGGCAGTGTGGGACACATTGTGGGAGCACCTGCCATTCCACCGCAAAAAGACCCGTTTTGCCCAGCTTTGGCTCCCTGGCTTTAGCTCAAGGACAGTGAAGAAAATGTTGGTGCTAGAAGAGGTCTGGCATGCATTCAGCAAGGCCCCTCCCTTCTGCAGGTGGAAAAGTTGAGTCCTGGGGATGCTGACAGTCCCTCAGGGTGTGCCGTCACTGAGACCTGAGGGCCTTCTCCCCGGGTCCCAGACCAGGGCGGGAGGCGGGGGCGGGGGAACGCACAAACCCTGTCCCAGGAGTCTGCGCTGCAGCCCCCCCCCCCATGCCACAGGACCCTGCCGGAGATGACAAGTGCTACCCTCGGGCAGAGGCTGGGCTCCGGCTCCGCATGGACACAGCAGGCACCGGCCTGCTCTTACACTGCCCAGGCGGTCCCAGTCCCACTGCTCCTGCTTGGGGCCCAGACAGGCCTCCGCCCTCGGCAAGAACTCTCCTGCAGAACCTGGGCGCCCTGCTCACTCAGTGTGCTCACGGATACCCCAGGAAGAGGGCTGGGGGACGGAGAGCCCACCTCAGCCTACTTTCCGCACTCTGGAGCCACTCCGGGGAAAGCCCAGCTCCTTCGGGCAAGCACTTGCCCAGGACCTGGCTGCTTCCTGGTGCTTGCCTGAATCCTGCAGAGGTGGGGGTGCGGGGATGCGACCCCCACCTTCTGGGCTGTCCCACGTACCTGCTTTGCCTGGGGTCCCAGGGAAAAGCGGGTCACTTTTTGTCCACTCCGGGATGCATGACCAAAGACAAGGACGCCAGGCCTGGGTGCTGTCCCTTCCCAGGTGTCCGGGGCTCTCCTCGGATCACACTGAGGAGCGCGAGTTATTGTTGGCTATGCTTGGAGCAGGCGGGCCCCGTGACCCTGCCCAGGAGATTCCAATCTAAGTAAAAGAGACAAAACAATTCAACGAACGGAAAATACATCTCCCGCAGATGAGAGGCTGCTTTCTGCCACAGAGGGGAGAGGTTATTGGTTTTTTTTTTCTTCTTATTCATTCTTTTTTGCCTGGAGGGTAAACTTTCCATGCTGCCTTGCTGTGAATCCCTCTAAATGGGAAATGCTGGGTTAATACGCATTTACAGCACCTACTTAAAAGGAAATCCAGCCAGCTTGCAGGGGGAAGGCCGCCGGGCCTCAGCCTCCACCGATGCCAGGGTCGCAGGAGAGGGGCAGGTGGCTGTGGAATTGCCGGGGAGCCCCTGCGAGCCCAGCAGCCGCTGCCCTTGCTGCTGCTCCTGCCGGGAGGCAGACCCCAGGGCTGCCTGATACGACTGGGCCAAGACCCACACTGAACCAGACCAGACGTTCTGACGCGAGAGGAGTCTTTATTGGGGGAGCAACATGGCGGGCTGCCCAGCAGACTAGGACTGCCCTGAGCTGAGCTGAGCAAAGCATGGGGTTTTTAAGCTGTCTGTGAGCCAGAACATTTTCTGGGAGTGGGTGTCTGTGGGCCAGAACAGCCCGAGCCGGGTGGGTTGTTTGTAAGAGTTGAATATCTGGTTCTGCCAAGGCAGATGAGGGCGAGGTTGGCTTTTGTCGAGGGAAACTAGAGGGGAACAGGTGAAGAGGAAGGAGTTTTTAGTAACTCCTTAATAAAAGAGCTTAAATCTCCCACGGGGTGCGGTGTCTTGTGACTTATCACTGCCCAGGTCCCCTTCCAAGAGCAGCAGGTGCCGGAGCAGCGGGTGCACCCCTGCAGGAGGGCCGGCTGGCTCTGCGGGTAGCCACGGCGATGGTGGCAGGAGCAGCGGGAGCGCAAGGTGTGAGCTGGGTCTCTCCCCAGCTTCCCGGGGCCTCCGCCAAGCGGAAAAGAGGAGCAGATTGAGGCCTGCGCCTGGCAGTCAGTTATGGCCTCAGCTTCGAAAGCGCCTTTTCCAGGAGGAAGGGGCGGTCCTTTCCGAGCCCCTCCTCAGAGACCCAGGAGGTTGGTGCTGGGTGGTGCAGCTCGGGCGTGCAGGCTGCCCTGCCCAGCTTCCTGTCACTTCAGCCCCCGCCCCAGCTCCATGAGCGCATGAGGGCACATGAGGCATGCCCCATCCTCGCGGCACTCAGGTCAGATGTTGGGGACCTTGGGTTCGGCCTGTGTCCACTGAGCTTGCTCATGTCACTTTTCTTGGGGGACAGCCTAGGCCAAGTGAAGGGCAGGCATCCTTCAGCCTGTTCCTGGGCCGCGCGGAGGAGTCCACCTTGGGACAAGGACAGAAGCAGTGGTTACAGGCCTCCTCCTCCCCTGCTCCCAGCCTCATCTCTCAGACAGTCCTCCTTACTGGTCAGGAAGTGCAGGCATAGGTGACACCTTGGTCACACAGCTTGAAGCTGGGTCTTTTTTTTTTTTTGAGACAGGGTCTTACCCTGTAATTCAGGCTGGCCTCAAATTCACAGTGATCCTCCTGCCTCAGCTTCCTGAGTGCTGAGATTCCAGGTGTGTGCCAACACACCCGGCTTGAAGGTGGGTCTTGAATGCAGGCTTCTGGCCCCAGCGTTCCTCCTGTGTGGCTCCAGGGTGCAAGCAGCCACCATCAGGGCTGTTGTGTGGCTGTGGCACCACAGGCCCCTTCCCCAGATGTGGGCACCGGGACTAGAACCACAGACTGTGCAGCTGAGGCGCGAGCTGGTGGGCGCTGCCCTTGGACTGTCCCAGTGACGAGCCCGGCTCAGCCTGCAGGAGGATCCTGGGATCCTGGCCTCGAAAACCACGGGGCACGGCAACGCAGGCTGCCCCTGCTCAGGGCGGAGGCCATGTCCTCTAGGCTCTTTGCCTCCGTTTCCCCACACCCCACCCCACCCGATAATCTACCTGTCCCCGCATTGTGCCAGGAGGCAGCATCCCTCCCAGCTGCCGCCAACCCTCTGGGGCGGGAAGGGGGAAATGCACAGACTGAAGTGCACTACCTTGGTGCAGGAACTTTGGCCATCCGGCCATAGTCACGGGGCGGGGACAGAGCCCAGAAGAGGAGCCTTGGTTGCCCAGGTCGTGCACCTGCCATGCAAATGATCCCTTGGAAATTATCCTGGGGCCGGGCCAACTCTTACGCACAAAACAGAACCTTCATCCCTTCCCCAGCCATCTGTAGCATGCACTCTTCTCTCTCGACAGTCTTATCCACGGCTTTACTTAGCATTCAAGAAGGCTATAGATTTGACTGTATTGGTTTTAATATGTTTCATCTTTAGAGCAGTCCTCAGTTCACAGTAGTACTGACTGAGCAGAATTACAGACTCAGAAAACACCACCACATGCCGGCCCTGCTGTCTACACTGCCGCCAATGTGGGCCATGCCTGGCAACTGCTGACTGCAGATGCCACTGCCTCCTCACGGGGCGTGAGGATCAGGGGACAGGGTAGGGGCCAGAGGACGGGGCTGGGGACCACAGAGGGGGCCAGAGATGGGGAAGGGGGTCAAAAACGCCAGCTTAGAGGGCGGGGCAGGGGCGGGGCTGCAGGGGCTGCCAGGGACCATGGGCCAAGGGAGTGGGCTCAGGTGCAGTGCCTGCCTGAGGGAGCAGGGACTACGGGTGGGGGCTGGGCTGGAGGTGGGTGGAGCCCTGGGAAGGGGCCTGGGGGCGGGATCTGGGGCAGGACGGTAGCTTGGAGGCTG